CCTCTCACCAGATGCGTGTCTGCTCTTGCACACATAGCGCAACTTCTCTCTGTTTCTGTTTGTACAGTTTCATCTCTAAAATATCATGACCTATAAACTCCCTCAGAGCTCTTACCTCTTCTTTGGGCTCTGCACTCTCCTCAGGTGTCCCACCCCAGAGCTTGCTATATAACAGGGGAAATGCAAATAGGGCCCTCCCTCTGCTGATGAAAACCAGCCCAGCCCTCACCCTGCAGCTCTGGGAGAGGAGCCCCAGCCCTGGCATTCAAAGGTGTCCTGATTTGGTGATCAAGACTGAACACAGAGACTCACCATGGAGTCTTGGCTGAGCTGGGTTTTCCTTGTTGCTCTGTTACAAGGTAATTCATGGAGAATAAGAGACATTGAGTGTGTGAGTAAATGTGAGTGAGAGAAACAGCGGGTGTGTGTGGCAGTTTCTGACCAGGATGTGTCTGTGTTTGCAGGTGTCCAGTGTGAGGTGCAGCTGGTGGAGTCTGGGGGAGGCCTGGCCCAGCCTGGGGGGTCCCTGAGACTCTCCTGTGCAGCCTCTGGATTCACCTTCAGTGACTACTACATGAGCTGGGTCCGCCAGGCTCCAGAGAAGGGGCTGGAGTGGGTTGCTTTTATTAGAAGCAAGGCTTATGGTGGCACAGCAGAATATGCCGCATCTGTGAAAGGCAGATTCACCATCTCACGAGATGATTCCAAAAGCACCGCATATCTGCAAATGAACAGTCTGCGAGCTGAGGACACAGCCTTGTACTACTGTGCGAGAGACAGTGAGAGGACTTCAGTGTTAGCCCAGACATAAACCTCCTGTGGGGCCCATGTGGGCCACCAGGGTGCGCCCAGGACCCACTGAGCACAGAGCCACCCAGTGAGGGTGGAGGTGGAGGTTAACAGCTGATTTCCTATTGGTGGGTGGAGCTTCCTCTCCATCTAATTTTCCCCAAGGGACCTCTCTAGAGTTAGAATTCCGTACTGACATTTGCCATCTGTAAATACAAATCTTTGTTTCTTTGTCTTATAAGAGGAGGACACACTCTCACCTGTGCAAATGTCACACTGTCACTTTAGGGGACAAAGTGCTCCTGCAGTTGTAACCAGGAACAGAGTCCTCAGGAAGCTTAGGGGAAGCTGATGAGTGTTCAGTCACACTCCAGGAAGAGACCTCAGTGGGATTTCCTCATTAGGACAGGCCTTGGGATTCAGGTTAGAAACAACCGACAGGCTAGGGAAGGGTCAGTGGACTCTGAAATCTAACAGGTTCCAAATCTGTCCCTGTCCCTCATGTATAACTGTGCACATCTGAGTCAGGACTGACCCAGTTGTTCCATTTTGTGCCAATCCATTTTCTTTATCTCTAGGCTTTTCTATCACAATTCCCTTTTCTCCATATTTTCCCTGAAAATGGAGGTTGTATATTCTGTGGTCTAAGAGGGCACAGCCCCTCTTCCTGTAGCTCAGGGGAGTCCCAGGCTGTGCCCTGCAGGTCCTGGGAGAGATTGAGGAGACCTTCTCACTTGCCTTTGCAGGACACCCTGCTGTCTTCTTTGATGGTCTCATTTGGGAAATGCAATACACATTAATTAGTCGTCAAGTGCGTAATAGCAGTTTGCTCACAATAGCATATTGATGTAGAACTGACCTTCAGCTCTCTGTAACTGAGTCCAAGCTCATACCACTTGCCACACGAGGGCCGATACATTGAAAGAAAGGAGTTGGGGCAAAGACAGTGACTTCATTTTGAAAGCCATTGATCTGGAAAGATCGAGGACTAGTGTCCTAAAGAAACATCTTAAGGTTGTATGGAATTCAGGATGTTTTCTATGCTAAGGGAAGGGCAGTAGAAGGGATTGGGGTCAAGGGATGATTGACAACCACAAACTCTGAGGTGACAGCAAGAGTCTGAGGAGGCTGTGAAAGTTTGTTGTTGTTGTTTTTTAATTTCAGCATATGAATATATTATGGGAATACAAATGTTCAGGTGAAA